CATTATTATAATGATTATTATCAAATCATTACTATAATGATTATTATCAAATCATTACTAAATCATCAAATCATTAAATATTTAAATAATTATTAAATCATTTTTATAATGATTAATAAATACATAGAAATACATATATGATTACTAATGATGAGGCCTATATTTTGGTAAATTAGGACAATTGTTTTTTGAATGGCCTTCACCCCTACATAATCCGCATCTCTTTGCTTGACCTCTCTATAGCATGAAAATCCATACTGGTATGAATTCGAGTGGACTCAGGTCGACCCTTTGGACTTCTGCGAAGCATTGGATTTGGTAGCCATTCATCATGATCCTTTTGGGCCAATATGATTCATTCGGGATCTGTCTGAACACATAGCTGTAGACATTTAATATCCTACGTAGGTGGAAACATTCATCAACATAAGTGTATGCGCTTACACCAGCATACATACATGCAGCGACTGCATGAGCACATGGATATTTCCATGCCTGAAAACGACCACAATCACACCATTTGTGTCGTAAATCAACTCTAAATGTTTGGTCTTCTCCTCCGACGTTACGACGTATGCACGACACGACAAAAGTATGACCAACTCGGTCGAAATTATGAACAACCATTGATGTTGCCAATCGCTCATTTGCTTCCATTGATTCCACCACTGTAGGAGCCCAAGTTTTACCTCTATTTATGAGACTCTCAATTTCCTTGCCTTTGTCCGACCAAACTTTACCCAGTCTAAAGTACGTCTCTTTCACCACACTCGCTATTGGGAGATGGCGTGTACCTTTTAGTACCGAATTAATGGCCTCAACAAGGTTTGTGGTCATATGTCCGTATCTCCGACCTTCATCGTATGCTTGCGACCATTTTTCCCGCGGTATTTTTGAAGCCCACTTCCAAACACGCTGATCATCGTAAAATACCTTCAAATTCTCCAATCTCTTGTCAAAATTTGGTCGACGTAGTTCGTATCCTGTTCCATAATATATTGTGTTAAACCGCACTTAAAAACCACGTAAAAAATACACAAATATTGAAAATAAAACTTACCCATGCTGACTATCTCGCTACGAATATGTGCGTTATGAAACTGGTCGATACTATTCTTGCCAATATGACGGATACAAAATGTCGGATATGCATACAGAGGTATCCAACGACTTCCTGGTCGTTCAATTGCCGCCAAAATACCCGTTCCTCTATCGGATATCAAGCAAACTCCATCTTCACGAACGACATATTGACGTAGATTGGTCAGAAAGAAATCCCAAGCCTCTGTTGTCTCTCCCTCAACAATGGCGAATGCAATTGGGAAGATATTTCGCTCACCATCTTGAGCAACTGCCATCAAAAGTACATGCCTATATTGACCATACAACCACGTACCATCTACTTGGATCATACGTTTGCAAAATGTAAATCCTTCAATACATGCCTTGAATGCCCAAATAGTCTATGAAATATTTTCTTCCCTGGCAGAAGTTGACCTTCTTCGTCATATGCGGGCATGGTTTGAGACTTCACTATAGTTCCTGGGATAAATCGCTTCATTGCTTGTAGCAAATGTGGTAGCTCATTGTACGATGTATCCCAATCTCCATACGTCAACTTCATTGCCTTCATTTTCGCATTCCACACCTTGCCATATTTTACTTGATATCCAAATTGGCTTCGAATAGATGCAGCTAACACTGAACAAGATATCCTTGGATCATTTTCAACCATCGCCTTCACGTATTCACATATTACATCGGAGTCCAATAGTCGGTGGTCTTGTTCGATGGAGTTTCGCAAACATGTGTGCGAACCATTGTACCTCGTGATGACCCAAACATCGTGCCTTTGATTTTTCGACACTCTGATCTTCCACTTGCACTCTGGGCCATATTTTACACACTTTGCGTATAGGGTTTTCTGGTTGGACTCTGCAACATGGACATCAACATGGCATTTGATGCAGTACTCTTTAATCGCCAGCGTAGCTTCATTTTTTCCTCTGAATTGTACCCCAACTGAAAATTCACCAGAATTATCGAATGATTCAGTCATTTGGTACGGAGGTAAATGTGGCATGTCTGGGAATTCAGGTGCCCTCATTGCATCATAATCTATCTCGTACATGTGAGGAGTAGCTTCATACGGTGTCGGAACTTCATCAATTGCACCTCCACCAAAAATATTTTCGTCGCCGCCTAAAACGGGTTCTTCAGTTTCTTCATCTTCGCTTGAATCATCATGAATTTCTCCCCATCGATTTTCAGCGTCATTATCAACAACCAATTCCGGAATGTTTCTCGTCTCATACTCTGCTGCTGTAGATGTCCCCCCGACTTCATTTACACTTTCCAATAGTGCCATAAAACTGTTCGGGAACCTGTATGTCGGCTCCTCAAACTGACTATATAAAGCCATTTCAGATGGATTTTGAGCCACACCTCTTGATGACCCAGGAACATCACATATGTTACGCACATCAACAAATAATTCAATAACTGCTATATTGGTTGACTCATGTAATCCAACCATGGTTCCAATATCATCATCTTCTTCAAGTGGAACTGCAGCACATCTGACTGGGTTAGAGCATATCATAAACCTATACCTCAAACCATCAACTGCAGCTCGAATTTTTCTTTCTATCTTATGCTTCATTTCTATAAATGTGATGTCTTTTTTGAACATCATATTTATTGGTTTTTCAGACTGAAAAACTACTCCGACCTCATTTTCCATAATCTGTCCATTATAATGGACAATCGTGAAAAAGTTGCTGCTCATTTTCTCTACAAATAAAAAAAAAAATTAATTTAGATTAAAAAATTAGATAAGATAATTTCATAAATTATTAAATATAATATAATATACTATTATATTAATGATCAAATAAATTTATTATTTAACTTGATTGATTGCTTACTAATAAACCTAATAATGATTTGATAATTACTATTAATCTAATGATTTGATATTTAATGATTTAATAATAATATGATTTAGTCATAATCAATAATAATTATTTATTATAAATATTTAATGATTTTGATTTGATACTAATCATTTAGTAATTATTACTAATATAATGATTAGTTTGATAATATTTTTATTTTTAAAAATATCAAACAAATTTGTTAGGCAAAACTGTCGATATACTGTTCTCGAAATAATTATTTCGCGAGATAATGCGTTGTCCGGATTATTTCATTCAATTAATTTTACTTCTTACTAATATACACATACAATGTAAATTAAACAATTTATTTTTAAAACAACACTAAATATTTTTAAACACAATATTTTTTAAAACGGAAATTATCTCGCACAAATTAGTTTATATAATCTAATATAAACTTACTAACTAACTAATTTACACATACACAACAACAAAAAATGGACAACAAAAATAATAAATTACTCACGTCTTTATGCCTTCTTCCTTTACTTTTTTTCCTGCCTTGTTTCTTTCTTCGAATCAATCTGTACGTGGGCAAATATTGTGAAATAATGTCATGTATGTGTAAACAAAATATTTATTTAAACAACAATAGCTCCCACAAATTAATTTTATATAATCTAATATATTATAATATACCTTAAACTAATAAACTATTTCTTTATTATAATATAACTTAGTTAAAATAACAAACTAATTAAGCACTAATTAATTTTTTATAATATAACTTCAACTTCAACGAACAACCTAATACGTTTAAAGACACATACAAATTAATAAATATTTTTTTATTTAATAACTTAAACTAAGAAACTAATTAACTAATTTTTTATATAATATATATAACTTAAACTAATAAACTAATATAATATAACTTAAACTAACAAACTAATAATTTATACTAACAAACTAATTAACTAGATTTTAATTTTACCCTAAACCCGAAACTAACAAACTAATAATTTCATATATTAAACTAAATTAAACAATAAAAAATTACCTCACGAACTATGTTTGAGCCTTTATCTTCTTTTCTTCTTCCTTTTCTTTCTCTCGGCAAAGTTTATATTTGCCGGTTCTGCTTGTGCTTCTACCCTAAACACCATATCCTTTATATATAAAGCAACTGAGCGTTGGACAGAGTCATTAAATTTGATTGTTGAAGCAAATAATATTAGCATTGTCGTCTAACTATTGAGCATTGAAAGGCTGACAGCTAAATTAACGCTGCAATAACGCAACAACACATACAGCTACGGGTGCAGGAATCTCAGCTATGATGCAACGCATGCATGCAGCAGCTACGGACCAGACCTTGGTCGCCGAGACTCCATGGCGACCTACCGACCACGCCGCCGTGACCTACACCGTTCGACGTGCATGGCCATGCACAGTTCCCACGTCCCATGCACAGCATGCATCTGCATGACCATGCACAGCATGCATCCCCTCCCCCATGCATTCCCACGGCCCATGATTTTTACAAAATACGCACAGGGTGCCATGTAATCCACCTTGGAGGTCGCCCGGATTGCATGGCGACCTCCAAGGTCGCCTGGATTGCATGGCGACCTCCAAGGTCGCCTGGATTGCATGGCGTCCTATGGCGATCACTGTAATTCACCCCATTCCAGCAATTAATCTAGGATGTGCACCATATCGTGAAAAAAAAAAATTCGAGAACATTATCTCGTGAATTTAGCCGATTATACCCCATCGAGCCCCTACTACTTGGATCCGAAGTCCAACTCGATATGGCCGTCCATTGTGTCAGTGGTGTACGGGCAGAGATTCGGGATTGCTTTCCACTGTTGCTTTACAAGCAGGGGGCGGCGTTCGTGGCCGTTTACGACTCACTCGTTCGGGATGAACCAAAGGATGGTGGTTTTGAAAACGGCGAGCGTTGTTCAGTTGATGATGTTCGAGTACAAAGCTGCTGGTGTATGGACCCACCAATGCCAACCTGGCACCCCCGGGCTATTATAGGCCAACTCAAGCTTGAACCTTTTTCTCATAAAAGTTAAAAAAAAATCCATTTAAAAATTCTACTTCAGTATTTCCTTTTAATTCAGTGTATTTTTCCAATAATTTTCCATCTAATAAGAGGAAAACCATGTTCCATAGGTTTTTTTTAACAGAGATTAAACCTCTAGCATTCATCACATTAACACAACCTAACAATACACAGATACAGTAACCAAGGTTTTGAGCCCCAGTTTCACTGCCATATTACCAGTATCCGATAGGCACTGAGTCTGGCTGTTTGCATTGGTCAGAATTCTCTCTCCCAAAATGTGAGATTTTAATTTGATCATACTCAACTACTTGCTAGCTCCTGCTGATCTGTATTTGTAGCGCATGGCCCAGAAAAGGTAGTGCAAGAAATTCAATGCGCTAAGCGCGCACATAAGCCAGTAGAATCTGTCCAGATGATAGCGGTTTATTGTATGACCAGAGAGCCATGGCGAATTGCCTGAGTTATCAGTCACATTATTTACTATCGATACAATCACGGAGCTTAAATAATACCCCATTGCCAAGGAAGCCCAGGAGAGTGATGTAGCCAACGATCTCATGCTTGAGGGCGCCTCGGTGAAGAAAAATTCTAGTAACCCTGCCAAGGTGAAAAGATCAGCTGACCCCAGGAACAAATACTGCAAAGCAATCCAGAAAAATGTAATGGGTAATGGAGCGGTTGAGTCAAGTAGCCCTGAGTCAGTTGCCACTTTTTTTCTCTTAATTTCAACAAGTGCTGCTACCGCCATGGATATTATGGAGAGAAATAAACCAATCCCAATTCGTTGCAGATGATTGATGCCCATCTCGGTTTTAGTAACTCTCCGAGCAAATGGGATAATCAAGTGGTCGTAAACTGGGGCCAGGATCATGATGAACACCACTGGGAAAACTGGTAGTGAAGCTGGTGGAATTTTCATAGAACCAAGTTTAGTGTCCATGGTCGCGGCTTGTTCGACTGAAAATGTGGAGAGCTGAGCTAGGCAGCAGTTGAGAACAATGGTGCAAGCAAATATGGGAAGTATTTTTAGCACAATCTTGACTTGTTCTACTTGTGTCACTGAGCATTCGAGTGCTGGGTGAGCTGGCTTGTTGGAGTTGGACACTGCTCTGTTTAGGAATTGACGGTTTTGCTCTGCCTCCTTGCTTTGTTCGGCATTGCCTCCTACTTCATTGCTGGTTTCAGTCTGGTAACAAGGGCTTGCGGAAAGGTTAGCAATGGCATTGCTTGGATTTCTGCTCATGCAACTGTTGAGCATAGCAGCAATCAAAACCTGTTCAAGTAAAACACATGCTTAGGAAAACAATCAGGGCAGAGTAATGAAATGAAATCGGAATTTACCTTGCAAATAGTTGTAAGTGGGCTTCCAGAGGGTATTTTGTTCCTATAAAACGTTGAGCCAAAGAGGAAGATTGGGACTGACAGCAGTATTGCAATTGTGGAGATGGCAAAACCCCACTCCCATCCTTCATTATCTTCAACCCACACAACAAATGTGACGGCAATAAGCGCACCACAGGAGAGACAAAAGACAAAGTAATTGAAGAAGGTGGATCTTTGCTTCCTTCCTCGTGGGGTGTTTTCATCAAACTGCTCAGCACCGTGAGTTGGCAAGGACCCCTTTATACCTCCAACACCAAGTGCCACCAGATAGAGACCTATGAACAGCATAGCTGCTTTCCCGCCATCAACTTCCTCGCATGGAATAGATGAATTGCATTGTGGAGGCTTTAGTGATGGTGTCCGAGCTTGGATGGTAAGAATGATCAAGCCCTGTTCCAATGGCACCAATTGGTTAGGCATATATAATTTAGTGACCGGAATTATTCATTATTTTGTTTGTTAACTTCTATATTACAAGGTTTTAATTTGGTACGTCAGTAAAAGCCTAGAGAGATTGGGGTCATCATTCTATATCGTCCAGCTTCAGGAATTCATCGTGGTTCCACCGGATCTCAGATTAAGCACGTGGTTCATGAACCTGCCTAACATCAGACTATTCCTTCAGATCTTTTTGTCATTTTTCAGCTTCGGGATAAGAACAAGATCCCATTTGAAGAAACAATAAATGGATTCGATTTCTTCATCTAATTTTTTCGCTTTGGACGATTTTGCATTCAGATGGCACCTGTCTAGCTAAAAATGTTTCCACCTGTCGAGTATGCTTTATTATAGACTAGGCTCGAAATCAACAAGACAAGATTGATGTTACCATCTGTGCTGGAACTGTGAAAGGACAATTTTTTCTGTTGCACACGAGACACTAATATTTAAACTCCCCCTAAATCCCAAGGCGTTGGCTTCTATTGGCCACGTTCCATGACATATTTCTTCCCCAGGGGGGCCCAACACAACACTGGTCTACCTCTCCCCACGCCAGAATTTATACTTATCATGTACGACTTTTATGTTGCTTACAAAATCTAATTGGTCAACAAATAAAATTTGATGCTCTTTCAAGGCTTGTAAGTTTGATCATATGATGATAGATGCCCTTTTATCTCTTGTTGTTTTGTTTGTGGATCTGAGAGATATTTATGGACATTTATCACAATTCACAAGACCTCGTTATTTATGCCCTAAACAAACGGTGTTCCTTGGATATATACACCAAAGAGCTTGCACCTGTGGCCGAATCAGCCTTTAATGCTTCAACACTCGGTATACTTTTTCTTTTCAAGCAAAATCATAGTGCAGGATGACATGCAACTATGTAAAAATTAGTTGGATGGGTTGAGAAAATGTTTACCAGAAACTGGATGAGCGCGCTTACGAGGTAGATGTGATAAGTAGTGAAGAAAACGTCGGATAAGAAGCCTCCGAGGAGAGCCAAAAGGAAGGCGGTTCCCATGAAATTGGTGACATTGTTTGCGGCTTTGGATGGAGAAAAGTCCATGTACTTTGACAGATACAACACCAGGTTGCTGGCATTTGCCAAGTACGCCAAGTTCTCCAACACTTCCGCAACTACACACATAAAGACCAAAAGATACCATCATTAAACCATATAATAGACTTATAAAATACAAATAAATAGCATTTGGGTAAAGTTACTAACCCAAGGCAAAGGAAGCAGCAAGCATGCCACCATGTTTGCCCCTTAAAGCAGGTCTATTTCTCCAATCCACATAGCCTTCCCATCTGGTATCTGGATACCCTCCTTCCTATAGGAAAAACTCATCAACAAATAAGGAGTTAGTACCAAATAAAATACATGTTTCTTCTTTCCTGTCTGTTTGAATGAAACAAAAAGCAAAGGAAGAAGGGGGGAAAATAAAAGAGAAAAAAGGGAACCCACCATTGCTGTTTCCCAACACTTTATTACAAGTTGGGTAAGCTGTATATCAGGTGAGAAAAGTGAACCTTGATGATAAAAGCACCGAGGGGGTATTAAAGAGTGGGCGAAAGGAAGGGGCATTTTAGTCAACTTGGAGGGAGATAATGGTCTATACACTTTAGAAAATGACTTTGATCCCTTGGAGGAACCCTTTGTTAGCAATAGGGTCGTAGACGAGATGAGATAAAATCTCATATAGCATTCCAATCTTCCGATTGGAGTTCTTTTTCTCAAAGTGAATACTCATACAATAGCACTTAGCAGCTAGAATCATAGCAAGATGCTTTCGTTAAAGCTGTTCTATAGGCTGCTATTTGTAACACGAGCAGGAACTTGTTCGTTGACAAATATTATGGTTACCCTCGTTTTCCATAAATTTTCATTAATGGTATGCGTAAGATATTTCGTCACAAATAGACAAAAGCTACGAGGGGGACCCATGATAAGCTTCAAAACTACACAAGTGACTAGAGGTGTAATTATATTAGGGTTTCTTCTCTTCAAATCTGCACAGAAAACAAATGGAACGGTGTGCTTTGAACATCGAAGAAAACGACGACCAAAACCACGAAAAACAGGTCCAGGCTCGTGACTAATTTCCCCATAATGCACGTTACATTGTACACAACACAACTCACGTCAATTCCTTTATTTATTTCACACCAACCATATATTCGTATCTAATTCTTAGTTAAATAAATTATTATTATTTTTAGTGGTCTTAAGTTCGAACGACTTTTAAAACAGATATTAACACTTGTAATTATTCTAGATTAATAAAAAAAATATTAATTTAAAGCTATATTTTATTTATTTTTAAATAGTAAGAGTTTTTTCAAGGAATAATTTATTTCAATTTAAATTCGGATATTATTTTAATGGAAGAAGAAAAGGATTCCAATCTCAATAATTAATGTTAATTAATTCAAAGGCATCGTTGTGCAAGAAGTAAACTCTATTAATTAGTAAAATTTTGTTGGATTAAGTTTGAAGAGAGTAGAATTTTATTATACATGATATGGTTCTTTTGGGAATTGTATAAATAATATAGACGTGCAAGGGTTATTTTACAGTGATTGCCAGAAACTTTGATAATGTAACCTGTCATAACCATTTTTATTTCTAAAAAATAATTATAACTTTATTTGAGAAAAAAATTGGATTTTGAATTAATTTGAATTAATTTGAATTAAATTGAATAAGAATCACCAAAGACTTTTGAATTAGGTAGGTCGAATGTCTAAAAATATCTTTTAAAACAATTTTTAAAATTGTTTTTAGACAAAAAATTATCTGCGTTATCAAAGTTTCATTTTTTTGGATTCGAGAGTCGATTACGCGTGAGGAATGATTAACACCCCACTGGCCCAAATCTGGTACCTAATCGCTTACACATTGTCGTAAATGGTGGAAATTGTAAATTTGAATCAACATTTAAAGTATGATCTTTTTATTTAACGTTGAATAATTTGTTTTGAATTAATTATTAGGGAACATTCCTTAATTTGAAAAGAAATCACGAGATTTGCACATCCTCCAATGAGAAGGCTATCCCATTTATTTATCTTTTATACGAGAAATGTCCCCCTCCCCAACGTTATCAAAAAGAACAAATCGAATATAAATTGACTATTGGAAATTGCATAAAATAAATTAATATTTAAAGAAACACGCATTGCATCACATGAATTAAAATAAAAACAAATTAATCATTATTTATAAAAATAAACTCGATTTATTCCAAATTCACATTTCGTTTGAATACTGTATTGAATCACACTATCTCTATAAGATGGTGCTTTTCACACATATTCTACGACATGAGTTTTTGAAAGTGTTCGAGTAATTCACTAAAAAGTTAATATTAAATATAAGGGACGTGCATATTATTGATAAAGAATATTCCATAAATCAAAATACATTAATATTATAAAATAAAATAACATAAGTGAGCAATATATAACATACACAGGTTAAGGAATGTTAAATAAATATACATAATAAAACATTTAATATTTACATACATCGTAACAAATGAAAAGCAACCAAAGCTAAAAGTACGCATTAGTTAAATTGTTTAATCGATTAGTAATATGACAAAGGATTGTATCAGAAAAGAGACAAAAATAATATGATAATTCTATGAAACTTTATATTTAGAAACAAAAACAGTGACAAAAATAAATTCCTAAAAGACTAATGGGTCCAAACAAGAAATAAGACACATATTAACATACATCGATAATATAAGGATCAAAATGAACAGAGGTAAGAATCATTAGCCCAAAATCAAAGATTTATCTCCTGTACATACCAAGACAGAGTAAGGACTAAGATGAGCATTGCTTAAACTTCATTTCATAGGTATAAATCTATAAAATTAGCAGTTACATGAATTGAAGGACCAAAATGATATCACCTTACACTATTAGTAAAAAACTGATATTAAACCATGCATATATCAGAGCACAATTAATGACTAAAATTAAAATAAATAAAATTTGATGCCAAAAGTTAGAAAATTCAACATTTCATTCAATGACCGAAAATAAATATTACAAAACCTAAAGGACTATTCAACTAATTTACCCAAGCGCTCCATGCACGCCTACCTCCTCCCCAAAACGACATCGTTTCATGCATGGTATATATGGCTAAGACCTAAGCCAAAAACCGACCATCTCACTCATTTATCTCATTCATTGTTTTTTTTTTTTAGAGAGAGCGAATACTCTCTCAACACTCTTTTCTACCCACCGAGGGAGATGAACAACCACCCTCATGCCACCGTAAATCGGTGGCTCTGACGAGGGAAACAAAATTAAAATCCCTTCCTTTGACCCCGAAGCCCAAAAATGACTTCTTTTTAACCCCCTTTTTGCCACAACTTGAAGAAGAGAGGAATTTACCTCCTGCAGGGTGACTCTTTCTATTCAGGTGATAGTGCGTGGTGACTACCGAAGAAAAGACGAGTCATTTCCCTTTTTTCACTTGAGTTTTTTCTTTTTTTCTTTTTTTGTTTTTGTTTTTTTCTCTAATTTTCCCTCCCTTCGTTCGATTCTCCACTGTTGCCATATCTCACTCTCTCTTCGAACTCCTTTTTCTCTCTCCCGAAATCTCCCCCAAAAATGGTTGTTGCATGTTGTTTTTTTAAACCATGATTATGTGTTTGGTGAAGCTATGGCATAGAGGTGATGATGGTAGGTGATGGGTTCACTGTAGGGATCATGGATTTTCCGGGTATGGTTTTCGAATTTTTTGGGGTATGTTTGGATTTAAAATAATTTTGGATTTTGGTGGATTTTCTAGAATAGGATCGGCTTGAATCTAGCATGATGACGGTGGCGGTGTGGAGCTTCAAACAGTGGCGTGCTCCGACGGCGCAACTCTTCTTTTCCTTGGCGGCAGCTGGTAACAAGTTAGGAGCTAGGGTTTTGAAACCCTAGTTGAACGGGTCGGTCGGGTTGGTTGTAACCGGTCAGGGCTGGACGTTTTAGGATGTGAAATTTGGGCCTTGATTTTGGGTCTACAAAATGTAAATTAGAATATTATTAATAAAATATAATTGTAACAACCCGAATATTTACAAAATAATAATTAATTGAAATTGGAGGTTAATTGTGAAAATTGGTAAATTGTTGGTGACTAAATCAAAATTTATGAGAGTTTATAGGCCATTTTAGAAGTGAAGGAAATCCAAGGACCAAGCCTTGAATTTACCCTAAAACTATCGGCAGCTTTGATTATAAGCGTGCATTTGGTTCTGATTTTTAGAACCAAAATGCTCCCAATTTTTCTTTCCCATATGCAGTTTCCAACTCCGATTCTGACGCCGTCCGAATTCCGATCGTTGTTTTGAAACCACCGTTGTGTTCATCATCGAGCGAGGAACAAACCCTTCAAATTAATTGAAGCGAAACGCGGCCAAACGTCGGGAATTTCCAGTCAAAGTAGCGACGTTTTTGTTAGCTCTATCGCCGAGAAAATCTTAAATTCACCACTGATCGTTGCTCCGTTTACGACACCTCCCGCACCATCGTGTTCCTTGTGCCGTTCCGAGTCCACCGGTGTTCCCCTTTTTCTCCGGCGGCAGCGGCGCGTGGGGAGGTGAACTGGTCAAACTTCCCGATTTGATGAATTCGAGCTCTCTGTCGTTCAAAAATTTGACCGGTCACGACCCGACCCGTTGACCCGACCCGATCGTTGACCGTTGACCGGTGCTATTCTGGTAAATAATTCGATTTTGGTGCTATTCTGGTAATTAGTTCGAAATGGGTGCTATTTTGGTGATTATTTTAAAAAGGGTGCTATTTGTGTAAAATGTTCAACAGTTTGTTGACCTCCTTTGACCATAACTTTGACCGGCTATTAAACGATCGTTAATCTTTTCCGAGTATACCTATCTGATAGTTTTCGACGTGCCGAATCCGTTTTCGTGGTCCGTTTCATCAAATTCAAACCCGAAGGTCTCCAAATCGACGGTCAAAGTGGTTGAATTTGACTTTGACCAAGAATTTGAATTTTCGGAAAGTCATACTTTATGTTTTTTGACGCCCTGATTCCGATTCCGCAATCCGTTTGGCCAAATTCAGACTCGAAATACCCCAAATTGATAGCCAAACCCGAAAAATGCTTATATACTTAAGAAGTTTAGCTTTGAACAATTAAATAGGATTTGGGACTGATAAATATTATTGTTTGAAGGTACAAGAGACTCTCCGGATCGTTCGACAGCTTGACCCAGCTCTTCTAGATCAGTTAAACCACGTGTGCCAGTATTCACCCGTTCGAAAACTGTAGCAGAGCGTGGTGAAACCAGCAATCAGTAGATTTGCTATTTGAACCTATTGTCGAGGTGTGTTCCCTACTTATTATTGAACAATTTTATTGGTTTTAATATGTGGTACACCGAATTCATTGGTTATTATTTTATGGATGCACCAATTTAATGTGACAATTTATGGAATATGGCTGCTATCTAATTTTTGTTTTGAAATGGTATATGATTACCATGTTTTTTGGATTTATGGAATTTATGTCAAGGTGCAATTGAATTTTGGAATTGAATTACGATGGAATAGCTCTGATCAAGCTAACTGGGCCTAATGTGACTCTTAAGGGCCCCAAGATGTTTCATTAGGTCGGCTTTCCTTTGCTGTGTGCTTAGGGTAAGCTATATGGACTTATTGACTAGGGCTTAAGGATACAAGCTTCAGAGCCTATCCTTAAGTCGGCTTTCTTTTTGCTATGTGCATAAA